GGTTTAGGGTTTAGGGTTTAGGGTTTAGGGTTTAGGGTTTAGGGGTTTAGGGTTAGTGGTTTAGGGGTTTAGGGTTTAGGGGTTTAGGGTTTAGGGGTTTAGGGTTTAGGGGTTTAGGGTTTAGAGTTTTGTAGGTTACTTCGAGGCCCCGAGGACTTAGCAAGTCGGTCACAAGCAGGGTTATAATTGGGGTCACTCCGTGTAGGGTACGTATACTTCTACCCATAACCTACCTTCTAAGTCCCCTGGGCCTCTAAGCAGGACCTATGCGAAGGATCAAAGCATCTACCCACCTGAAACTACCACAACCTGTTTGTAGTGTTTTTCTCAACCTCGAATATGATTTCAGTTTATAGGGGCCCTACGGAAAACAGGTGTTGGTTGTCCAATGTATATAGCACGAAGCAGAGTCTGGATATCAGGAATAGCAGTACGGCTTGTGCAAGTATTGCTTCATGGAGCTACCTAGGACTGTCTGGCCTGGGCTGTACCTACAGGGTGCCTGACATGGTACTATTATGGCAGAAGGGCCCGAACAACTAGGTTTTGGGAGCGACTTCTACTGGCAGAGATGTGGACTGTTCTGGGTAGGGCTAGAGGTAAAGCAATTACTAATAATACTCCCGAAGGAACCCCAAACCCCTATCCCAAACCCTAAACCTAGCTCCACATGGCGCAAGGCAAAGTTCACACTTTTTGAACACGTCTTGCGAGCCAGCCCTGCAGATCCTGTAGTTCACCCTAAGGGTCCATGCACCCAAATAGTGATACTTTGGCCCCACACTCCCCAAATAGGGACTACTTTAAGACCAAAGTATAACCCTAAACCCTAAACCTTATTTGGATACATGGACCCTTAGGGTAAGTTACCTTTCAACACAGACGAATTGACACCCAGAGCTCCCACCAGAAGGCGGCCAGGCGGGTCCAAAGCAGATTGGACCACTGGAGTTTGTAAAGATGCATGTATGGGAGTTTCTGAAAATAAGGGGTACCTTATTTTGGGGGTTCCTGATAATAAGGATCCTACTATTTGGAGTGCTATATTAGGGTCCCCTATTTTCAGAAACCCCCATATAGAATATTGCACAAAGATGCTATCGCCTGTTTACGTCAGTACTACTCAACATCTAAGTGAGATCAAACAGTGCTAGAAATCGTGAAGGACCTTTTGCTGTGTAACATGAAGAATATATATATATATATATATATCGGGTACATCGGCCTCTCGAGGTATTCCTCGCGGTAATTTCGTCATCTTTACTTGGGACGAGTGGTGCCAGATTTCTATTTCTATTTTCTTCGTTGCTTTTAACTGTCTTCAAGGTCATGCAACCTTTAAGTATGACTGCTGAACATGTCTCAGGGTCGTAGTGTACCTCTACTCGTGCTTGGCATGTCACAAACCTGTTGGGAGCCCTTCTGCTCTCGACAGAAAAAAAATTTATAATATACCACCGAGATGCACGAAAACAGGACCCGAATACAGCACTCTAAATAATAGGATTTTTGTTGCAAGGACCCAAAATAAGGTACCCTGTATTTTCGGAAACTCCCATGTATGTTCTAAAGTTCTCTGCAGACCTTGAGGCTCTATGAGGCTTGTTTAGTTTGGGGTTTAGGGATTAGGGATTATAGGGTTTAGGGTTTAGGGTTTAGGGACTTTGGGGTTTAGGGATTAGGGATTATAGGGTTTAGGGTTTAGGGTTTGAGGACTTTGGGGTTTAGGGATTAGGGGTTTGGGGTCTCAGCCGAGCAACGCGACCCCAAAGCCTTAAATCCCGGTTCCATAGCAGTAAACCCTAAATCAAAACAACCTGGAAACAAAGTTGCAATCACATACCCCTACCCTAAGGGTACCCAAATCATATATACTTTGGCCCCAAAGTACCTATATAGGGATTACTTTAAGGCCAACGTACATACTTTTGGGGTGCATGGACCCTTAGGGCTATCGATCCCAAAGTTTGGAGCCTTCAATCAAAAAGGGAGCAAGACCCCATATAACCCAACAAGACACATGAAATTTTCGGTTATAGGGGCCTTAATAATTAGAATAGGGTTTGGGGGGTATATTATACTATAATTATAATAAGCAACCCCCAAAATTATTAAAGCCCCTATATTGCAGCCTTGTGTAAACACCTTGAACCCAACACGCGAAACTATGTATGAAAGCCTTAAGCCGAAGGTATGCATCGGTTTTGACCACCGGGCGGGAGGTGGATACTTGGCGCAAAGGCAATTACGGTCAGGGCTTCCGACTCTGGGGTTTAATACAGGAGCTTCAATAGTTACCTATTTTGTTTTTGGGGTTCCTTATTAATTATAAGTATACCAAAAAGGACCCCAAAACCCTATTCTACTTATTAAGGCCTCGGGTTTTTGCGGTTGAGGCTCAACGGGTTTTTAACACTTAGAGTTCAGGGGTTTAGTGTTAAGGCTTTTAGGGGTTTAGGGTTTGCCCAAGAAAACAAAGCAGACTACATCGGTAAGGTCTGGCCAAGAATTTTCGGAATGCTTGTGTGGGGGATTCGTGCGTGAAATCTCGGCCGCCAGTTACAAGGCTGCCAATGTCTTGGCAAACGCCACAAGAAGAAGCAGAACACGTCGGAAAGGTCTTCAAAGCAGTTTTCGGATTGCTGGTGCAGGGACTTTCGTGCTTTGAAGTCGTGGCCTATGCGGTTTCAACAGCACGGGTCTCCCAGCAGGACGTGGTCACCAATCAAAATGCCACAACCGAGGAGACGGGCGTGGAGCTCACAGATGACCTCTCAGCCCCTACCAGCACATGGGCACCCGTCGTTCGTAGCGAATGGTGAGATATCTACCAGGTCCAGGCAGCCCCAGGAGGCAGCCTTTGCTTTCATCGACGACGCTATTGCTCGTGATGGCAATCCGGTACTGAATATATCTCTACAGATGAAGGAGTCATTTGAACATAGGGTAGTGGCAGACATACCGGGTTGACCGACGTCAGTTTTGCTACCGAATGGGCTTTGCTTTAACAAGCTACATGTGTGCCTGTGGAAATTTGCTTGTGGTATACCGCTTTCCTTGGGCTGAAAGTGCTTGATTTGGCATAACTTGACTTAGTTTCTCCAGCTGTTTTCGAGTCTCTTCGGTGTGCTGTGCGAGCCTCGGGTAGCCGAAGAACCCGGCTCAATAGAGTCTTTCTGTGAGCGGTAAAGGGGCGTCAAAAGAAACCTTAAGCCTTGTCAGACCCAAGCCCTAAACCCTAAACTTTATACCCTCAGCCCTCCTAAACTTTACACCCTAAGCCCTAAACCTAAACCCTAGGCCAGGATTTGGGGTTTGGGGGTTTAGGATCTCGGGCGGGTGTGTTTAATGTTTCTTGACAAGGTGGCATGTGCAGAGCCAGGTTGGGGAAGGAATTGCGCCATTGGGCGAGGTCAACATTGTCAATCCCCAAGGGTCCATGTGCCCAAACAGTATATACATTGGCCTTAAAGTAGTCTCTATATAGGTACTTTGGGCCAATGTGTATACTATATGAGTACATGGACCCATAGGGAATTGCACACAGTCTTCCCATACGCCCCATAGCCATAGTAGTTCTTTTTTGGGGTTCCCTAGTGGGATCCTAAGTATAAACCACAAAAAAGATCCACTATGGGGTCCATGCGTAAAGTGGCGGAGTTTCGACAACCAGTAGTTGTGCTCCAACCAGCAAGCCCTCTATCTTGTATGTGATGCACAGGCCTTCCTCCCAACCTCACACCCGATACACCTGAAGCCTTACGCATCCCTGTACCGTGAGCCTCAAACCATACAGACTACCTGCAACCCCAAACCTTTCGACATAGTAGGTATTAAGTTTTTTAGTCCCAGGTTGAACCCCTAAAGGCAGTAGGCTTTTGAATCTTCAGGTACACCATGAATGCCGATGCCGAAATCCCCAAAAAGCCCCGCTCCCTGAAGCTTCAGAGCCATGAGCGACTGTACGTCATAATGTTCCCGCAGTCCCTACATCTGTAAGCTCAATTATGCCCGGAAACCCGTCTGCCAATCATGAAGGACCCTATACTATCCATGCAATGGGATACGGGAACACCATGCTATAATGCTATGTATATATGTATACGGATGTACAAGGCGAACGAGCTACAATGATGGGCTTGAAAAATACTGTTACTTGTCATAAACCTTAAACCCTACCCCAAGAACGGATTCCTTCGGTTTGGATTTGCTCAAGAGGGAGTCAGCTTGTTTCCGAGGGTTCCATCTTGAAAGGGGATTATGATAACGAACCACATCCGAATGCAAAGCTGGCTCGGCTTCTGGAGAAGTTCCAGCCAAGGCTGCAACTCCAGAAGTTTCGCCGAGTGTGCTGCGCGCGTTTTCTTGGAAGAAGGCGGGGGCACTTCTCCGATCCCGTTATCCAAACAGACCCGCCCAAGAAGGTTTCCGAGCTTTAACTGTGTTCAGACTGGGGCTGTTGAAGCGAGGGTTTTCCGCTGCTACAGATCCCACTATTCATTGATTTTGGGCAATACTGCAAATCAGGACAAGAGCTTACCCTAAGGGTCCATGTACCCAAATAGTACATACTTTCGCCCTAAAGTACCTATATAGGGACTGCTTTAAGGCCAAAGTATATACTATTTGGATACATGGACCCTTAGGGTTATGTCGGGTTTCATTGTACACAAGTTCGCAATGTCGGAGTTCGGGACCATCTTGTACCCAAAGGGGTCCTTAGAACGGTTTCTATAGTAAGTACTTTCTGGTGTGGGTATAATCTATACCCCATATATAAGTACCTACGACCCTTTGGTTGCGAAGCCAACTACGTTGCATGTGTGATCAAGCTGGTAGCGTACTTGTAGCCTTATTGGGGATTGTCCTGGCGAGCCCTATTCCCCTATGGGTCCATGTACTCATATAGTATACACATTGGCCCCAAAGTACCTATATAGGGACTTCTTTAAGGCCAATGTATATACTATTTGAGCACATGGACCCTTAGGGTTCGTGAATGCTTCACCAATTGACCGTGAAGTGGAGGCTAGAAGGATTGGGTTTTTTGCATGGGAGATTTAGTGGATTTAGTGATTGGTTGCGGCTTGGGCCGCTACGGAATTGCACCTGTTGGTACCGCACTTGCCTAATCCGTAACCCAGTTTCTTCAATTACACGGTGCACGATGCTGCTAGTAACGTGTAAGGAAATCCGAACCCGTGCGCTCCACCTGCCCGAACTCAAATTCTTCAAGTGATGCGACGTGTTTTTGTATGCAGGCTTTACGGTGTACCTCTACCGCGACTTCGTTGCCACTCCGATGGTGCCTTCCTGAACTGCCTAGAGGGTCGTACACTGCACCTTTCCGTGGGCAGCTACTTTTTTGTTCATAAAACGGGTAGGATACGACCCTTTAGAGAGAGTATCAATTGTCACCATGCCCTGCCCTCCGAAGACAGTAGCACCCGAAGCTTACGTGCGTTGGCAGATAGATTGGCTCCGTATTTCAAACCGAAGTACGCAAGCTTCTGTTCTTGCGTAGCTCGACAGTGCAGCCGCCAAGCCTTACACTGTAAACTGTAAAAAGTTTGTCTCTCCCGTGTCCTGCCAGTGTGACTTGAAACACTGCTGCCCGACCCTTCAGCGCCGAATGTCAACCCTCATCCCCTCGGCCAGAATCAACACGCATACATACATACATACATACATAAATACATACATACATACATACATACGTACATACATACATACATACATACATACATACATACATACGTATGTACCCACGTTTGTGCGCACACACACACACACATACACATGCACGTGCACTCATATATGCACATACACAATAAATGCAACAACATGCATCCATGCACGCAAACATCCATCCACCTATCCATCCATGATTGCTTGCATGCTTGCATGCTTACGTACATACATACAGGCATAAGTATACATAAATACATATACATGTACACGCAGCATACCGGTTTCGATTAATGTCAAGCTTCATTCAATTAGCTCTTCAAGGTGCCCTGGTGCATGGAGCAGCGGAGATGTGTCGCCGGCTGCTTCGAAGGCAATGCAGTAATGTAAGGGCAGTAAGAGTTAACTTTTTTTATTCCCTGATAGTCACTGATAGTCCTCATGTAATTATGCGGCAATATCTTTCCCACACTCCAAATCTAACAGTTTTTGTAATTGCCCCTAAATCATAGAACCTTGTAGAACCCCTGTCGTAGCCTATGTACAACCCTTGCAGGAACGGTTTTCCGTTTTTGCGAGGCCCGTATCTTAGCCGTGACTTTCGAAGTGTGGTGGGCTGGAGTTCACATGGTACAGTTGCCATAAACCCAAAGCCCTCAACCGTAAGCCCAACGGTTTAGGGCTTAGTCAGAACAAAACAACACCGAAGCTTTGTCAGTGTTTGGGGTCCTGTTTGCCTCTGGTGAACCTAGCATTAGTAACATGCGGGAATGTTGCATCCCATCCCATGTTCGTGCTGCCAACCGAGGAATTATGATCACAGCCTCCCACAATCCCAAAGCGGATAACGGCACCTTGGTGCCGCATGGATTACTTTTGTTGTGCATGAGAGCTGGGCTGGCAGGGTATTCTACACAATCTCCAGACCTGACTAAACCGCTAAACTCTAAACCTTAAACTCAGAGTAAGTAAAGGTTTAGGGTTTAGGGTTTAGGGTTTAGGGTTCAGGGTTTAGGGTTTAGGGTTTAGGGTTTAGGGTTAAGGTAAGCCGGCGAAAGTGCAGGGGGTTCTCTTTTGCCGTGGTAGTGCATGAGTCGCAGAGGGTTTCAGGCTTAGGCCTTGGGGGCTCTTATTAGTAGTAGAGTAGGCAACCTTTAACATTCTGGGGTTACTATAGTCCCTATATTATATATATATATAGCCACAGGATAAACGGTCAGTTCCCCTAGCATACTGGACAAGGAAGGGCTTATGACGGTTGTGATGACGATGGTGATGGTGATGAGGGTCACGACATCGGGGCTGTCTCACACACAGCGGAGGCAGCCGCCCTAAGACCCGTACTTTGCACAGCTCTTGCTTGTTTTTAACCCTAAACCCTAAATCCTAAACCCTAAACCCTAAACCCTGAGCCCTAAACCCAAACCCTGTCGCGCGACAGGCGAAATCCCAACCCTTGCACACTGTAAGGCCGCCGTATTTTTTGGAGGGACTTGAAAAGGGACTCTGATTTAGAGAACTACCCACATCGAACCCTTACCGCACCCCTAAAGAACCCAAAAACCCTAAACCCGGGTTTAGGGTTGTAGGTTTTAGGGTTTAGGGTTCAGGGTTTTAGGGTTTAGGGTAATGAATAATGCAAGGCATATGGGCAGTGAACGCTCTACTTGCGCATAGCTTTTCGGGAGTCCTTCAAAAGGGGGTTCAGAGTTTATTGTTTAGGGTTTAGCGGCAACCTCAGGGTTGTTTGCGGGCTTAAGGCGTCTACTCAGAGGTCCAGGGGACTTAGTAAGTAGGTTATAAGTACCCTCAATGGAGTTACCACAACTATAACCCTTTTTTTAACCGACTAGTCCAATGGGCCTCCATGTCGTCACCTAGTCGGTAGCTTCCAGATCCTAGCCTGGAGAGCTTTGGGGCTTCGGTCTCCGAATTAAGAGGACTCTTAATCCCTACCTTCCGTGTTTGGGGTTTGAGGGTTAAGGGTAGAAGGGTTTAGGTTTAGGGTTCAAGGGTTTAGGTTTAGGGTTTAAGGGTTTCGGTTCAGGGCTTCAGGGTTTAGGTTTAGGGTTTAAGCGTTTAGGTTTAGGGTTGAGGGGTTACCTTTTTGGGATACATGCCGTCCCTATGGTAAGCTATCCTAAACCTTATAAACCCCACACCGTAGGCCCTAAATCTGATTTTCCCAAACCAAGAGTGTAATGTAGGGGCCTCAATAATTACCAATACTATTTGGGGGTTCCTTACTATTTATGAGTATAGTATAATGGGCCCCAAAACTCTTCTCTGATTATTAAGGCCCCCTACGTTAGGGTTTAGGGTTTAGGGTTTAACAGTCCCAGGCTACAAGCTTTACTGGAGCAATGCTGCGCAGATCATTCCGCCTCACGATGCGAAGAAGCGTGGCCGATTTAGGCTTCTGTGGTTTCTAGGGCCCTGAGGGTTTAGGATTCTAGGTGGGGTTTAGGGTTCAGGGTTTAATTAGGTTCGACTCAGGAGTTTAGATTTGGGTTCTCTTGAGTATGGTGTTGATGTCCCCCTGGTAACCGTAAACCCCAAAACCCTCTAAACCCTAAACCCCTAAACCCTCTAAACCCTAAACCCCTAAACCCTAAACCCAAACCCCTAAACCCTACACCCCTAGAAACCCTAAACCCCTAAACCCTAAACCCTAAACCCTAATCCCCTAAACCCTCTAAACCCTAAACCCCTAAACCCTAAACCCAAACCCCTAAACCACACACCCCTAGAAACCCTAAACCCCTAAACCCTAAACCCTAAACCCTAACCCCTAAACCCTAAACCCCTAGAAACCCTAAACCTCTAGACTCTAAACCCTAAGCCCTAAACCCTAAACCTCTAAACGCTAAACCCTAAACTGCAACCCGTAGCCACAAGTTCCGGCCTTCCAGCTCGATTGCTTGCTTCAAATTCTAAACGCCAGGCCATAACCTCTGGGCTCTGGGGTTTAGGGGATAGTTTTCAAGGGGTTTAGAGTTTAGGGTATAGCTTACAGGGGTTTGGGGTTTCGGGCTAGGGGTTCGAAGCTTGTAATTACCACGGGAATATATGTTGCACAAAAGCTGCTCCTATATTGTCATGTCAGGGCCAATGTACACAATTACCGCATAGGTAGATGGGACCCGTAGTGAAAGCAAAGTGATACCTATTTGCCTGTGGGCATACTACCTCCAGCTGCTCATGCCCAAACCTTATAAGCGGTTTAGGCTTTAGGGTTTAGGGTTTAGGGTTTACCGGCTTTGCGGCCACCAGCTAAGCCCAAGCCTGCAAGACTCTAGACCCTTTGCTTCACGGCTCTTGGTACCTTCGAGCTTGACCCTAGGCCCATGAAGTCTAGACTGCCTTCAAAGCTGTTTTTGGAGTTGCTTCCGAAGCCCTCAACCCTAAGCCCTAAACCCTAAACCCTAAACCCTAAACCCTAAACCCTAAACCCTCAACCCTAAACAGCTCTAAACTAATCCCCACGGCCAAAGACACTTAAACCCTAAACCACAACCGGAAGTCCCCCAATCCCAAACACGCGCAAATCATACAGCAAGCATATACGTCTATGTGTGTCCTTACATACATATATATATATATACCGAATCTATGTATGCGTTTTAGATGGGTAAAATTTAGGTACATATATATATATATATACTATTCTCTGTAATTAATCTTTCTCTGTATGTATGTATATATATATATATATATATGCATGCATTAATATGTGTCTGTAGGTGCGTATTTCATAAGCAGCATAGGTCATAGTTTCCCAGATTCCCCACCGTTTCCTTCTGCGCTCCCTAAACCCTAAACCCTAAACCCTAAACCCCCAAGGATCGCAGCTCTGATTGAAGAGAACCTGGCGCCCTGGCCCTGCGGCGTCACCTCGGCGCCCTGGCATCGGATTTTTTTGTTGCGTCATGTTCCTTAAGCCCGAAACCCTACCTAAGCCCTAAACCCTAAACCCTAAACCCCAAACCCTAAACCCTAAACCCTAAACCCGAAGCTAATTCTGAATGGGTTTTTATACTGTTTCTTGGCGGATGTGTGTAATTTGGGTGAGGATGTTACAGGTCTTAGATATGAGGCTGTTTCTATGCTTCGGCTCTTTGACAAGGTTCTTGTTAATCGTGAGTTGCAAGGTTCCAATAGGGCTTCATAAAGGTGTCTTCGAAAACCCTAAACCCTAAACCCTAAACCCTAAACCCTAAACCCCTAAACCCTAAACCCTAAACCTATCCCTTAGCATCAAAACAGCCCAAAAGCCTCCTTTAATAGGGTCTTTGGGCCCCAAAGCCTTAAAACATGAGTCCTTTGAGGGTTAGGGTATGGTGTCATACGAAATCCTGCATTAAGGACCCTAAACTATGGGAATTATGGTATCTTCCTTTTTATGGGTAATGCAGGATCTGAATCATCAACAGTACGTACTGGTTTTGCATTCAGGGAGTAGGGGTCCCGGTCTGGTGTTTCTGCGGGTGGGGTTGGTTCTTGTTCACGAGGCATGAGCTGCTTTCGGGGTATAGAGTTTGGGGTTTCGGGTTTTAGGGTTTAGGGTTTAGAGTTTAGTGCTTTTGCCTGGGTTGAGAAGGTTGTACAAGGCCACATAAGGTTGTAAGTCAGAAGTTTGTAGATGGCCTTGTCCAGCTTCATAACCAGTCTCGTTGTCTTTGGCTTTGGCTCGAAGGGCCTGACTAGCAATGATAACGATTTCAAAGACTAGAGACCACCCATTATCCTTATCGTTGTTGTTCCAGTAAGGATGTTCTGGCAGTTGGGTGCTCGGTGCAGACAGCAACATGGACCAAACGTCTCCAAGATCAGAGTCCACGACTGATGGAACCACTGAGCTGCTGTGAGCGTCGCTGGCCACAGCACATCCTGCGACTGTCTTGGTGGACGTGCTATATTTTGCGAAAAGTCCCGTGTTGTGGGCCAAGAGAGCAGACATGTGACATGGTTGAGTTTCTTGCCCCCGTTTTTCTTCCTGCACGTTCTTGACTGGAAATCGCCCATGGGCTACAGCGCATCCGCTCATGGAGCAATCTGATCTCGGCCATCGGCCAACCCACACACGGTTTTATGAGGCATCTGCTCGTAGCAGCAGTGTTGTGAGCCGGGGTAGTAGCACAAGACCCGAAAACCCACGCCATGATGCTACCGTAGGGGCTTTAATAACTAGAATAGGGTCTTGGGGCCCAGTGTACTAAAATTATAATAAGGAGCCCCCAAAATAGTGTAGGCAATTGTTTAGGCCCTAAACCCTAAACCCTAAACCCTAAACCGCTATAGTACCCTCAAAGTTCATACCTGAACCCTAAACCCTCAACCGCACTGGTCAAAGCAACCCTCGGGGCTGACTCTTAGTCCGAAACCCCTGAGCCCCAAACCCTCAACCCTAAACCCCTAAACCCTAAACCCTAAACCCTAAACCCTCAACCCTCAACCCTAACCCCTAAACCCCAAAACCTCAACCCAAATTCCTAAACCCTAAACCCCGAAGCCTTAAACCCTAAACCCTAAACCCTTAAACCCAAAACCCCTAAACCCTAAACCTTCAAACTCTCTAGCCCCGGGTTGGTCAGGCACGGCTTCGCGCGCCAAAGCCCGGGATATAGGCAACCGCATGGAGAAAGAAGTAATGTAGGGGCCTAAATAACTTACGTATATTGTTTTGGGGGTTCCTTATTACAATTATAGTTTAGTGGGCCCCAAAACCCTATTCTAATTATTAAGGCCGCTATGGTAGCAGCAGTTGTGGTTGTAGTTGTAGCAGTTCTTGCTCTTGTTGTGGTGGTTGTACAAAGCCGCTCCTTAGGCAAATGGACAGTCAAGGTCTGCAGTGCTAAACGGCTACGACAACTTGACTTGCTTTACCGTGAAACTTGAAGTCTACATTCTTTTTAAAAATACAACCTTTGGGACCTAAGATCCAGAACTATCTACACCCTTTGTCAATTGCTGCCATGTGGAATGCTAGCGTTGTAAGGTTTACTTGACCTCGCAAAGTGTGTCCAGAACCCTAAAGCATTTTGGTAGGGCCACACGGTAATTTCAGCCGCTGTAGCCTGCATTTTGAGAGTTTAGGGTTTTGGGTTTTAGTTAGGTTTTAGGATTTCGGGTTTAAGGACTGCTAACCGCTCGAACCTATTCTATTAAGACCGTCTAAACTGGAAGATGCCACACTGTAGCTAATGCCGTGCGTGCCGCAGATTTAGGCTTCGATTGGGGTTCCTCAGCAGTACCCGTCTGCCCTGTTTACCTTGGGATCACCTAACATTGAATAATAACCACAACAAAACCCAAAAACCATGACACACAGGTATCTGCTTTATTAAGCGGATACTGGGGAAACCTAGAATGTGGAACGATGTCCCTAAACGCTTAAACGCTTTTAAGACCTGGTGGAACTTCAACCTTAAGACCTGACATGCCAAGCCATGCTGAACCTTATATACGGTTATTTTTCTACATTGGGGTCCCTGTTAGGTTCCTTTTTTATACGAGTGCCGTACTATGTTGGGGACCTACAGTAAATTAGAAGGAGACCCTAGTTTGGAGAACTACCCACATAAAGCCCGTAAAGCCGAAAAGCCCGAAACCCTAAGAACTACAGCGCAATCGCAGAGGTGCTGGACCATCCACGATGCAAAGATCCTGCCGCCGAAGGGTCCCGCGGAAGCCAAGCGGATCCAGTTCAGGGTCTTTCGCTATATTTTGCTAAATGCATCCACGAACACTTAAAGATTTCTGCAGGGGTTTTTATATAGTATATGTCATATATGCCGTAGCGAAATCCTTTCTAGTCCCTAATTGGTTTTGTGTTTGAGATAATAACCTACCTGGAGTTTCTAAGCACCAAACAAGTAGGTAGCAAGCGTTCCAATGGGTTTCTGATGTTAGGCTTTGACGAGTCCTGTATGCAGGGCCTTCTGACTTCTGATACGTAATATAGGTTTTAAATTAAGTACTAAGCCCAAAGGCTCCATGTACCTTTATAGTAGATACTTAGGCCTGAAAGGGGTTCCTATATAGGTACTTTAAGGCCTAAGTATCTACTATAAAGGTACATGGAGCCTTTGGGAAGTTGCATGGGGCTGATGAGAGTGCATTGAGGGCCCTGGAGGATTCTTGGACTGATCCTGGAGGTTCGCGAAGATCGACCCCTATACCCTAAACCCTAAACTCTCACGATTTAGGGATCAGGCTTTAGGGATCAGGGATGTTTTTGGTATGTTTAGGACGTGGGTCGATGGCCGAAAAGCTTCGGGCTTGCATCTCCTTTGGGATAGTGGGTTAAGGCGGAAGACAGCAGCTGCCAGAAAGTCGATACATCAGTACTGCCTCTAAGAAACAGCACAATAGAGGGGCTTCGGTAACTATCAAATACTATCCCTCAAGGCTCGCGCGATTCTACCATCATGACATACCCCAAAAGCTTGTTCTAGCTGGTAAGGCCCTTGTAACCGGCTTTAGGACTCAGCCCCGATGGAAGTCAAACATTTTATGCTCTCGTGGGAGTCTTCCGATGTATGTTGGGTTCTGGGTTTTGGGGTTTAGGGTTTAGGGTTTAGGTTTTAGGGTTTAGGGTTTAGGGTTTAGGGGTGCTGGGTTTTGGTGTGGGTTTGGTCAGGAGCTTCAAGTATCTGCAGCGATTGGAACAGTGCGTCGTGTATGGAGTACCTTGTGTTGAATTACTATGTCATGGTTTCATGGGTCCCTTGATATTCAAGTAGACCCGGTGCACATCTTTCTAGAACGTTGTAGAGCTTCAAATTGCGTTTTCAAGTGTTGGGAGAGGATACCTCAATTATGAGCCCAGTCATAACCCCGACAGCATGAAACACACACATACGCTGTAACTAAACCCTATAAGCCCTAAACCCTAAAGGGTTCACCCTAAACCCTAAACCCTAAACCCTAAACCCTAAACCCTAAACCCTAAACCCTAAACCCTAAACCCTAAACCCTAAACCCCCCGAAACCCTAAGAAGCCCTCTTAGACCGCGAAACCTGGAAATGCACAGAAGCCATAGAAACCCTCCTCAAGCCGAACCGCTAAACCCTAAACCCTACCTGGACCCTATAAAAAAGCTACCGTTTAAGGGATACTTATTATGATTTCTTTGTAGGAGTCCTCAAGAAAGGTAAGTTGTTTGGGGTTACGGTATTCAGGTTTTAGGGACGTTTAGTGTTTAAGCCGTAATTCCCAAAGCCCCAACACCCGAAGGCAAGTACCTAAGAATCATGAACTCTTCTGGATACTAACCTACAAAACCACTATCCGTAACGCAAGTACATGATTCTTGGGTCCTTTGGAGCCTGAGGGACAGCCTCAGGATTCTGGACGCGTATTTCCAACGCCTCCCTGCCCTGTGCAGCTCCAAAGTGAGCAAGGCAGGGGTTTTCGGGGCTTAAGGGCTTCTTTTAAAGGGGTTTAGGGTTTAGGGTTTAGGGTTTAGGGTTACGGGCTTAAGGGCTTCTTTTAAAGGGGTTTAGGTTTTAGGGTTTTGGGTTGTACCTAGAACCCCAACTACCCTCTATTATACCCCAAATACCTACTATTAGGGACCATAAGGGCTCCATTAAAGGGCCATTGGGGAGTCCTGGTAGTGTTTAGGGTTCATTGTTCAAGGAAGGCAGTAGGGTTTAATTCAATCATGGTGTGCCCGGATCGTCCGAAATCCCTTCATAAAAAGAAGATACCTTAAATCATAATAGGAAGCTTAATATGAATTAAGGCATATTCCTTTTGAATTTGGAAGATCTGGGCCCTAAACCCTAAACCCTAAACCCTAAACCGTAGGGTAGTTTAGCAGAGGTTTGAGGTCGACTTGGGAATCGTAGCTTTGGAGTCCGGCCCGGGTTTAGCAACATAGTCTACTCCCTAAAACTGAGATCCCCGTTTTAGGGTTTAGGGTTTAGGGTTTAGGGGTTTAGGGTTTAGGGTTTAGGCCCTTGGCAAGAGTGACAGTTTTGCTATGTAGGGCCCAAAAACCGCCCGAATTGGCACACCCTAAGCCCACAGCACGCGAAGCTGAGAAAGCATCGGAGGCCGAGCAACATGCCTTGGCTACGGTCTTAAGTACCTATTATAGAATATTGTAATATTGGCTTCTATTTTCGGAGTAGCCGGTATGGTTTGGGAAAATATCCCGCATACCGGTACCTAGGACCCTTTGGGTACTGAGGG